GCTTATATGCAGTTCTGATGCCTTGTTATGAGCCATGAGTAAAATCATCGTACATGGATTATTTTCTGCCCACTGAATGTTTTACATTTGTTTTTGAATGTTGATTACATTTTGAGTACTTTATTTGGAAGTGGTTGAATTTCTAAATTATTACATCAGCTTCCATTTCACACCTACTCTTAACTTATTTTGTATTCCTCCTCTCAGTGCAGTCAATGTAAATCGTTGAGATGTCCTCCTTGTGTGAATTCTGATGTAGTAATATATATTCTTATATAGTCAGTTGGTGATTGTAGAGTCAGTTGATTAGAAGATAATCGATAAACTTTACAATTATATCTTTCTCACAATGAAATCTTTAGTTATAAATTATTCTATGATTTTCTAGTCCAACTATAATTGACTTCAGGAACATAGACACTGCACAAAATTGCTGCAATCAGTGAAGCCACATTGATATAAGAAGTATACAAACTTCAAGTATTGTTTTCAAACTCTTACAGTCAATTTTACTTCCGAAGAAACTTTTCCCACAGAATAGAAAATATGTGGAATAGACATCTAGAAAAGCACTCAACATGTCGAAAAGAAATAACTATTTGAAGAAAATATTATTATGTTGTGCATATATTGAATATTTTCAGAGACAAGTTAGTAAAGAGATATTTTCAGGAGCAGTTCATTTGCAGCACTGCAGTCTGAACGAGCAATACAAATTTATGCCAGTTTTGCTCTCCATTGATCCCTTTGCGTGCTTGTTCAGTCCATTGCATGCCAAAGTTAGAAGGACTGTTTTTTAACAAGTTCATTATTTCCAGTATTTAACAGCCCGATTCATTGTGATGAGGAAATAAGTGTACAGTATGGGTCAGGATTTCCTTCCTGCTGCAAATCACTGCTTTTCTACTGCTGGAGTCCATTCTCTTCCAATACAATATACAGCATTAAAGGCTATAGTGATAAGTGAAGATTGAGATGAAGTAAGGCCCTGGGTACTGGGGCATTGGGTGGGGGTCGTCAATGAGGAGAAATTGTCTAAGATGGGCTGCAGAACAGAGTTCTGAGTTCTAGTGAATCTGAGCATTCTACGACTTTACTTGATTACCATGGGTTACAGGGAGTATTTATTGCAGAACGTGGGTGAAGTAATGTTCATAACAGTGTCTAAGTGGTGTGGGGGGAACTGAGCTCAGTAGCAATATCTCATTTAATTATGACTTATACACACTTACATAATAATGTGTGCTAACAATCTGGGGATCTATCATATGATACTCACTAAAACTAGCAATCTTATCTACACCTGTTTATAATGGGAATTCTCAATATCAATAAATAACAAAAAAATCACTATTTTTAATAATCAGAAGGTAATAGATGCCCAAATAACAATTCTCTGCTTGGGCACAGGATACCAATGTTATGGGTAGCCTAGTAAATGCATAGTAACAAACATCTGTTCAGATATTTTTCATATAAAAAATACTCTCTACACATTAAGGGATGAATCTATACATGTGAGGTATGATAGAAAGCTGATGCTGTGACCTCATGAATAAGGCAAAACTCTGAGAGATTTTTATAGGTGAAAAATTAGGATTAGGTCAGAGCAATCCTCCAGCTCAGCATAATACAAGTCATTTTCTCTAGATGAGGATCGATTTCAAGATCCTCACCCTTGTCTTCAAATCCCTCCACTCCTCTGCACCCGCCTACCTCTCTGACCTCCTCTCTCCTCACAACAGTGCCCGTTGCCTTCACCAGGTCTGGCCTCCTCCTTGTCCCCCAAATCCTCCACTCCACCATCGGCGGCCGTGCCTTCATCCACTATGCCCCAAGGCTCTGGAAATCCCTTCCTTACTCCCTTCACCTCACCCCCTCTCTTCCTATTTTCAGGTCTCGGCTGAAGACCTTTCTTTTCAACTCTGCCTTTGGTCACCTTCCTCCCCCTCCCCCTGGCTCGGCCTGGGATCCATTACTATGAAGAGTTCTGAGACGCCGTCCGGCATGGAGGGCGCTATATAACCCAAGTTGTTGTTGTTGTTGTAGTAGACTTCCTGGTTGAAAGCACGGTCATATATCTCAATATATATATTATATATAGCAGTAAAGAGGTAGTTTGAGATATACCAGGCACGTTGGTTCACAGGTAGTTGTCGTTTAAAAGTAGTCTTATAAAAAGATCCGATATTGCAGAACCCAATTATAAATCCTGAGAGGAGTGGATAAGCCTTCACTAAGTTTCCCCACTCAGAGTCATGCATGTTGACAGTCTAATGAGCATTCAACAAGATTTGGGCTTTCGTCCAATGAAACTCTATTAGGTCAGCTCAATGCAGACTTTCAGAAATCCTACAAATCCTGCCCATAATCTCAGCAATTTAGATAAAATCTGATCTAGTTACCATAACTAGTGAGGGTTTCCTTGGGAATTTCTCTGCCACAGCCTAATGTACTAAACTATTAAAATGTTTTTGCATAAAGATTATTCATTAGAATTAGGCTGACAATATTCCTGCACACATCTGCTGTGGTATTTCCTTTTGTTTTGGGAGCAGTAATCTTTGGTGTTTTGTTAATTTTTGATGTGCATTTCATTTCTATCCAAAACTAAACACAAACAGTGAAAAGTAGATGGGATTTGAGTTATCATCGGTTATGTTCCCTCAAAGATCTCTCCCTTGATTTACTTGAAAATTCTCTTCCTTCTCTACAGTAAAGAAAGAATGTTGATTTACATCAGAAAAAAATATGGTTAAATGGTGTCCAATACTGGATGAACTTACATCAGCACATATACATATTTCCTTCTCAATATGATCAGTTTCAATGAATTACTTACTCCTAGCAATAGCGAGCAATAAAGTGATTTTTGTTTTGCCTCAGTTAATAATGATTGTATCAATGGAGCAGAGTATTTCCCATTGGCTTGTTTTTTACACTATGTGCTAAATATTGATAGTAATTGAATTAATTGGTACAAACATAAGCAAACTGAAATGCAGTGGGATGAGTCCTGCTGACTGAACTACATTAAAGGCCTCTGTGTAGCTATGTTACAAAACAAAGCTTGTTATAATTTATGTGTGAGGGTCATGAATTTCATGTTTACAGTGAGGGTACAATATCATGTTACTGGCTTCCAAAACAGAATCAGAGGCCAGGCGCAAAAATGTTGTGCAATCTTCACCAGATGGATGAAGCATATTTAAACTTTCTGTTACTGAAATGATTCTTGGTATATTTCTCAGTGACCTCAATCTGTCTTTCATCATGTAATGGTAATGGTATATCACAGTAATGGTGAAGTTGCCATGATCATTTGGTAATTTTACCAGTCTAGATTTCTCTATACTTCTCTACAGAAATCAATAATTGAGGTTCAAACTATATTGAAGGTCCTGGAACGAGTCATCGCGTCCCAGCTCTGCTCCTTTCTCTCCCGCCATTCCCTCTTTGAACCCCTGCAATCCGGCTTCTGCGCTGCCCACAGCACGGAAACAGCCCTGGTCAAAGTCACTAATGACATTCTGAACATCTGTGATCAGGGCTCCCTCTGTCTCCTTGTCCTCCTCGACCTCTCTGCCGCCTTCCACACTGTCGACCGCTCCATCCTCATACACCGCCTCTCCGCTTTACTCAATCTTCGCGGGCCTGCCCTTGCCTGGTTCGATTCCTATCTCTCTCCGTCTCCACTTTGTTGCCTCCAACGGTTTCTCCTCCAGGCCCCGCACTACCAAGTCTGGTGTCCCCCAGGGCTCTGTCCTTGGCCCTCTCCTCTTTAATATCTACATGCTCTCCCTTGGTGACATCATCCGCAGACATGGTATCAACTTCCATATGTATGCAGATGACACCCAACTCTATCTTTCTGCCTCCACCTCAACTCCAGGGCCACTGCTGTCCTGACAGACTGTCTGTCGGACATCAAGTCCTGGATGAGGTCACACTTCCTCCAGTTGAATGTGAACAAGACTGAGGCCCTCCTGGTTGGCTCACGCCAGCGCCTCAGCACCTCAGGCTCTGGCAGAATCAACCTCCATGGTTGCACACTTCAACTCACTAAGCCATCAGGAACCTCGGTGTCTTGTTCGACCCTCAACTGTCTTTTCCCCCCACATTCAAGCTGTGACCCGCTTTGCCTTCCCTCACCTCCGTAACATCACCCGACTCCGCCACTACCCCTCAGGCCGTTGAAACTCTTGTTCATGCCTTCATCACCTCCAGGCTCGACTCTGCAAACTCCCTGCTCGTCGGCCTTCCCAACTCCTCCCTCCGCAGGCTGCAGATAATCCAGAACTCTGCAGCCCGTGTCCTCTCCCGCACCAAACTTCGTGACCCCATCTCCCCGACTCTCGGCCGACTCCATTGGCTCCCTATCCTTCAGAGGATCCAGTTCAAGATCCTCCATTCAAAGCCCTCCATGGCCTCGCCCCACCCTACCTCTGCGACCTCTTAACCCCCTACCAACCCGCCAGTTCCCTCCGCTCAGCCGGCTCTGGCCTACTCCACGTCCCGACCCACTCGCCCCACCATTGGCGGGAGAGCCTTTAGCCACTCTGCCCCCAACCTCTGGAATTCCATCCCCCAGTCACTCCGCCTCACCCCTCCTTAGCCTCCTTCAAGTCCCGCCTCAAGACCCTCCTCTTCAGTCAATGCATCGGCCGCACCCCTTCCCCTCCCCTCCCTTACTCCCCCAACTCCAGCTCCGGTCTGAAATGCTGTACTCTGTCCAGCGTCTTGGGACATTCTCACGACGTGAAAGGCGCTATACAAATGTAATCTTGTTGTATTTATTTAGTACTGTTTTGACAGTTTACAAATAGTTTCTCTTAAAGGTGGGCAGTAAGAAGAAACCTACTTGTAAACAGACACACTGTCATCTGACAACTGTGCAAATAATGGGCCCATCGTTGACCTGTTGCGGAAGTAGAAATGCCTAAGTGATCATCGTCGATGTTGTCAGCACGTAAAGCAATCAATGATCATTCAATGAGTTCTACAGATAAACCTTTTATTGTTTTTGATATTAAATATTCATGGTGAAATTATAATTTAATTCATAACCACAAGCCAGCATTACAAATTCATATATTTCGATCAATTGTTATTTCAATGTTAAACTTTTTTCTGCTTAAAGGATGATTTTCCAAATAGCAATGACACATAAAAGTGATACTAGTTGCTATGCACTTAAGGATGATTAATACAGAAATATTCTTCACGAAGAGGTGGTTTGATTGACAATAATATTTAACTAAGAATGTTAAGCAATTATTACCAGGTTAGGTTTCTGAATTTCAATTAGTGTAAAAAATATTATAATTTTGACTTATTTTGAAAAAAGCCCATGATTGCATTCATGCATTCCTCAGATAACCATCTCTCTTGCAGTCGCACACACTCTTGAGCATTGACAGCATGCAACTTTTCTTTTTCCATTCCTCTGATCAGTTGTTTTGAATAGCGCAGAGACTGAAATAAAAGTAAAGAAACATTAACCCTCAAAAAAAACTACCCCAAATCATACTGAATTTGTGAAATTAATCACCAGCAAGATATGAAAGATATCCAGCACCTTGTACCTATTGAGACTTTGAGACATCTCAACGACGTGATAGGACACTGTATGAAATGTAAGGATTATTATTATTTATTTTTATCTTTTTTAACTGTGATTTAGTTAACTAAACATTGTGAAATCCAGTATTGCAGTGATTAGAATGCTCGGCTTGCAAGCAAGAAAACCCAGGTTCGATTCCCAGGAAAGGTGAAAGCTTAGGAAACTTTCCTTACTCCATGCACCTCTGTTTACCTAAAAGTAGGAACCGATTGGCAGTTCGCTTTCTGGGGGTAATAATCCCCCTCAAAAAAGCTTTGGTCACTTAATATGATACTGTTGTATGCAATTGGCTGCTTCATTTTGCCCTCAAAATACAGTTTTATGTATTTACAATATACAATTGTAAATTGAAACACTTTACAATATATTCTGTGAAGTGCATTGAGATGTTTCAACGATGTGATAGGCGCTGTATCAAATGGAAGGATTTATTACTATAATAATATGTATTACTATATAACAGAAAACAAACTAAATGAAAGATTAATGGCTCATAACCATACCACATGAAGGTTCAAAATAAACAATCCAGTTGAAGATAGCTTCATACTTGGAACTAAATAGTGACTCCATTTTATGCTTGCCTGTAGCAGAGGGCATACAATGATTGCTTTATTCACTGTATGTTTGTAACACTTTATACACTAATTGTTGTAGTACAATTGATTTCATTTTATATCTTAATCATAATTACATATAATAAGGTACTATATCAAATCAAATGCACAGATTATTATTACTGTCATAATATCAACAGTATTTTGAACAGAAAGATAGACTTTGAAAGAGAGAATAACCACCATGCAGCAAATTAAAGATTTCTGTTATTAGGCTTTATGGGAAAATGTTTTATAGTTATGGCCAAATGTTCATTATAAACAATGAAACCTTTTAGTTGCCCTCTGTTAAAATTAGCCAAGTAACTAACTTTTATAGATCTTTGATGGAATCACTGAAGCTTTGCAGGATAGACATGCAATTTACACATATTTTGAGAAAGCATTTGAAAAGCTTCTGAACAAAAGATTACTCGCTAAAATTGAGGAACATGAATTGGAGACAATATGGAGGCTTCCAGAACTCTGCAGTCCCTTGTCCTTTCCTGCACCAGGCTCCATGAGCCAATAACCCCCACCCTCACCCAGTTCCATAGGCTCCCCATTTCCTAGCGGATCGAGTTCAAAATTCTTGGCCTCCCTTCAAATCCCTCCATAGTCTTACCCCTCTGTGACCTCCTCAAACCATACCAACCGGGCTACACCCTTCGTTCAGTGTGCACAGCCCTGCTTCATGTCCCCTGCCCTACCTGCCCCATTATGGGCACTCAAGCTTTCAGCTTATCTGCCCCATTCTCTGGAACTCCATCATGGAGTCTCTCCAACTCTCAACCCCCGTCCTTCACCTCTTTCAAAGACTGTCTCAAGACCTTTCTCTTTGACCGCACCTTTGGTCATGTTTCCCCTCCCTAACCCCCTTGGCTCCCACTCCCAGTTCGGGTGTCCAGTCAGGTTTGTCAAGTGCCTTAGAACGTCTTACCAATATGAAAGGTGGTATCAATTTAAATTAGGTATTTTAATAATAGCGTGGATATGAAATTGATTTTTGGTGTCTTACACTTGTGAAAACCCATCACATGCTTAAAAGTATCCAAACCAAACAGAATTCCATGCATTCCACCTACACATAATGTCATTATGTTATGTTGCCGTGTTTGTAATGGAATTCAGAGGGATGCTTCCTACTTACCTTCTTACCTAATTCTGGAGAGTATTAGGTGCAGAGTGGCAAGAACAAAAGCTTGGAGACCACAGGGTGTGTGTAGTTGTATTGCTGGAATTTAAACAGCTAAAATCGCATAGTTTGCCAAGGAATGTACTGTCTGGAAATCTTCCCACTATTTGTACAGTGAAGACCACCCTACCTGCTGGGGCTTTGGCTTGCAGAGTTAACAGAAGCCGAGAGTGGGAAGAGTTCCAGCCCCCAATGACTCAAAGTCTGCTCCTTCAAGTCCTACCTCTAAGCCAGGCTGTCTGGTCTGTCATTAGTAGTGCACTGAAGTACTATGGACCTGTCAACCAAGACTGCACAGAGGACTGGCTCGATTCCAGCATTCTATTGCCAGACATGTCACCTTGGAGCCAGTTCAGCTCCAGGTCACCCCACTTACCTCCCCCTAAGAAGGATAGTCACTAGTTGGTCATTTTACATCCAATAAGTACACTTTTGAACCCTCATGAGGTGGATAGCAGTTAATAAGAACTCGCTGCAAGCTTTTTCGTGGGAAACACAGCTTAGCATGAAATGCCATCTTTGTGGCAACTCGGACACACATTTTTACCCATTGAGCGATGGTTCTATCAGTTTGAGCTGCAGAGATTACCTCTCTGCAAACCATCAAGTTAGATTCTAAGCCCTGGATATAAGAAAGTGTGTTCACAAACTCTGTTCATGAAACAGATTGGAAAACAGAGGTGGGGTAAAAAAGGACATTCTCTGATTTCCCACCCTCACCAAAGCAACACTGATTAGTTTTTAAAGTAATAAAAGAAAGTACAAAATTGATAGAAACAATTCCCTTGAGTAGGCAAGTCAGCACCAAATGAAGTATCTGGGCTGCTCACTAACAAGTCAGTGAAGGCTGCAATTTTATATATTCTCACCTTTGTTAAGGCCCCATTTTGTCTTGTCCTTTTGTATTCTAACAGCATGAAACAGTGTTTGACTTTGTAAAATTTCAGTGTGGTATAAGTACACACCTTCAAGGAACTTGATCAAGTATTTAACCCAAGTGTATAACTACTACATATTCATACTGTTTTAAAAGATATTCTTGGACTATTCTTGATTAAAACCTTATTGCAGTACAGCGCTATACATACATCTTTGGGGAGCTTTGCGTAGGCACGCAGCTTTTTCCAAACTTCTTGCTGGAATGTATTGTCAGGAAAGACCTCAGTAACCAGACCCAAATCACAGGCTTGAGCTGCTGTGAGCTTCTTGTTAAACAGAAGGATTTCATTTGCCTGAAAGAATAACAGCATTAGAAACAATATAGCTTAGAACTATCTACAACAACAACAAAATTACATTTGTGTAGCGTCTTTCACATCGGGTGGACTGCGGGATGGAGTTCCGGAGGGTGGGGACAGAGTGGCAGAAGGCCCACCCGCCAAAAGTAGTGCAAGCAATGTTGGGGGTTGGAAGCAGGCCGGAGCAGGATGGTAGGGGTTTAGGAGGTCGCAGAAGTCAGGGGGAGCAAGACCATGGAGGGCTTTGAAGGTGAGGACCAGGATCTTGAACTGTATCCTCTGTGTGATGGGAAGCCTGTGGAGTCAGGAGAGGATGGGGGTTATAGGGTCACGGAGCCTGGTGCGGGAGAGGACACTGGCTGCAGAGTTCTGGATGATCCACAGCATATGGAGGGAGGAGTTGGGGAGGCCGACAAGCAAAGAGTTTGCATAGTCAAACCTCGATGTAATGAAAGTGTGTATGAGGGTTTCAACGGCCTGCGGTGTGAGACAGTGGTGGAGCCGGGCAATGTTGCGGAGGTGGGGGAAGGCAGAGCGGGTCAAGGCAAGATGTGGGGTAGAAAGCATAGTTGAGGGTCAAACAAGACCTCAAGGTTCCAGACTGGCTTAGTAAGGTGGAAGGTTATCTACCCATCAAACCTGGTAGAATGCTACCAATTTGTTATCTAGCCAAATGACATAACAGACATGTTATTATGATTATGCAAACATCAATATCAGTTCTGAACTTTCAGTTCAGTCCCCATCATTAGTTATTTAAATCTAATCTGTATGATTTATATAATTTTACAATACACATACCATACCACTTTACAGTATATCATGTGAATCGCTTTGAAGCACCTCGACAATGTGATACGGTGCTTTATCAAATGTAAGGATTATTATTATTGTTGTCAAGAGATTTATTTAGGAACAAGTTCTGGAATCTTACTGTGTAATAAATAATGTTCAAATAACATATTACGTATCTACATTTCAGCACTAATACCAGAAAATAATTTGAGGTAATTCTAGGGATGTTCCATCCAGTCTAAATTATATAGAGAAGGAATGAGACTTTATTGCTGCCTTGAAGATAATATGGTATGCAACAAACGCAGCGTATTGACTGGAGCTTATGCCTTCAAAGAGTGTGGGAATTTTTCAGCAAATCATCAAAACAGGAATGGTTTAATTTTTCATTGACTACCTGTGAATGATATGTGATCTGTTGCTTTTCGTGGCCTTTATAGATAGGAGCGCTATATAGGGCACTTGTTATCTTTATTTGGATTGCCTTGCATGATGTTCCTGATATCACTTTCTAGCTTGTCACTGTATTTTAACTGATAAACTGATAATTTAAGTAAAACTATGTAAGGAGAGTGATTGATTGATGAAAATAAACTCATGTTACAGTGGCAAAACTAATTTCTGCCAATGGCCAACACCGCATAGTCATTTATTTTCACACAAACCAGTCCCAACAGATATCATCTGTTTATTTTTCATACATTACAACCGTGAATACATTCCACCCAGAGTTCATTCTTTCTGACATGAGCAATTTTTCCTTCTTGTCTACAAGTAGTTGTTAAAAGAAACAGAGGAGAAATTTTTTCACATAGCGAGTTGTTCGGATCTGGAATGCATTGAACTGAAAGGGTGGTGGAAGCCGATTCGATAACAACTTTTAAGAAAGAAGTAGATAATTATTTGGGGAGGACAAGTTTGCAGGCCTATGGGGAGAGAGTGGGGGAGTGGGATTGAATTGGATAATTCTTTTCAAAAAGCCAGCACAGACACGATGGGCCGAATGACCTCCTCTTGTGCTGTATAATTCTATGATTCTATGAACTTGCATTCATATAGTGTCCTTCACGTGGGTAGTGCCTCAGAGTGATTCACAGTGGTGTGGTTTGACGCCGAACTGAAACGAGAGGGGAGGTGGAGGAAAAAGGAAGTCTTCAGGTGTGATTTGAAGACAGGCACTGAGGGGGCAAGACGGAGGGATTGAGGCAGGAAATTTCAGAAATCAGGGGCATAATGGCTGAAGGCATGGGTGCCAATAGTAGAGCAGAGGGGATGTGGAACATGCAGCAGAACCGTGCCAACTGAGTGAGGGCTGTGGTTGATAGAGTGAGGTGTGAGCAGATTGGAGACGTAGAGAGGTGTCAGGGCATGAGGTGATTTGAAAGTGAGAGCAAGGAGCTTGAAATCGATCTGTTAGTTAATATAGTTAATGCCATACGTTTTCATCTTCTATTAAAATAACCAATTTTTCCTGATCACCTTAAATTGGTATAGATTGGCCTACACAAAAAAAGTCATGATACGAGGCAAGAGAGTTTGGCCTGAAAAATAATGAACACTTATTTTCCTGGGTTATTATAATACTCTTGTATTTATTGCAGAATGCAAATGTAGCTTGGAGCTGTACGTCAGTCATTAATTTGCTTGAAAAGAGTGGCTGTTCTGTAGGACAGAGTATCATGTTCCATTATTTCAATTGGTGTGAATATTTCAATTAAGTAATGAAAATATTCACACCATTTGAAATAATAGAATGTTTTAAGGCTATACTTTAAGGGTTTAAGAAAGGGTTTTTCCTAAACCCTACATTAATCCTTTAGAACTAACCAAATACACACACTATTTTTTATTATACACTAATCTTTCATCACAGCCTGTAGGGTGAGGAATGGTGGCTTAGTAAGAAATATAATATGTAAAAAAAGAGTCACTGCACATGGATCAATTTTATCTAGCACTATAGTATCATGATATAAAATGGAATAAGATGAGTTATTCACATAATCCACCCACTCTGCTAACAAGTATATCACCGCAAACCCTCTCCCATCAATATCTTTAACAAGCACAAATCCAGAAACCTAAATATACAATGAGGCAGATTCTGGGGCCAGNTTTTTTTTTAACAGCAATCACACCTTGTTTGAGTTAATAAAATGGTTGAGGGGCATTGTCAAAATCAAGAAGGAATTAAGGCAAAGATTGTAGCATTGTATCAGTGCATTTAGGGCAAACTATAACTCAATCAATATAAGGGCTTGTATCATTCTACAAATGCAGATTGTTAAATATTCTGATGTTTTTTTTAATTTCAGGAACAAGGCTTCATAATCAGGAAGGAAGAGTAGTTTCTAAGCAAGTAAAAGCTGACATGTTGCTGGGTTTGTTTCCATTTTTGTAACAGAAGTTAAATACTAGCTTTTTTCAGATAAAATAATTTAAATAAGCATGTCTCAATGTAGAGAAGATTATTTTTTGGTCAGTCGGGTGTTGTGTGGAAACCAACCACCATGATAAGAGTATCCAAACCAGACTGACAGCTCCATAAATAACACCTACATTTGGAAATTCCCTTGTCTGGGAGAGAGCTGTGTACTCACCCTTGAGGGATACATCCTGCTTACCGAATTGCACAGAGTATTAGGCACAGGTCAGCAAGAACTAAGGCTTGGGAACTCCACAGTGTGCTTTGGGGTATTGCTGGAGTTTCCGCCACAGAGGATTGACTCATTTCTGACATTCAGTGCTGAGCATGTCAACTTCAGCTCTAAGGATACCTCAACACAATTCAAATCTTAGACACAACAGGACAATCATCATTGGCTTCCTCTGAAGGGCACAGCTTTTTAATTATGACTGAATTATCGCTAGGAGAGAATAAAAACTGGCTCAGGCACGATTGGCCAAGTTGTGGCATAGGAAATACACAACCTATGGTAACATTTGTGAGTGGGCTCAACTGCAGCCCACCTATAATTTAAGATAGCTAACAAACTAAGAAAATTGGGAGGTTAAGAAGAGTGTTTTTTCCACACAGAGTGTTGAATGCCTTGGAATGCCCTGTTGCAAGCAGTGGTTAAGTCAGAATCCATATTGGCTTTCAAAAGGGAACTCAATAGTAGATATCTATAAAGAGTAAATGTCAGCATATGAGGAAAGGCAGGTAAATGGGACTGAAAGGATTTCTCTTAAAAGACCCCGGACAGACACAATGGGACAAATTACCTTCTTCTGTCCTTAAATTTCTATGGTTCTATGGAATGCCTTTCCTAATACTCCAGAACCCTGTCTTACAGCATTGCCATGCTTATAGCGTGGGTAACCTAACTCCAGTGCAGTCTAGTCAAGTTTTTGTACTAAAAAAGTCCGACTTCCAGGTGACTACTGATGTCACTTCTTGCATGTTACACACTATGTACAGGAAGTATCATTGATATAATTTGTTGCGCACTGTCATCACCGTGAAGGAAGCAATACCAGTGGTACTTTCTGCACGTAGCGCGAATGCACAGCACACAGGAAGAAACATTAGTTGCTACCTGATAACCTAGAAGTCAGACTTTTTTTCGCCTCCCTCATAATACACAAGTGTTGAGATATTAGAGCCAACCAGCTACAGTATAGCCAGGTTTTCCTATAATGAAGACAAACATAGAAATTGGGTGGGGCCTTCAGGCAGAGGAAAATCTTATGATGAAAATTTGCAATAGTGTATCTCATGCAAATATTTGGAACTAATCCTTTCATTTGCAGATAATGCTTATAAAATGTGTACTATATAGCTTAGTTCTATTATTGCAAAATAGAGAAGTTTTTAACTTTCATTTAACAAGATCAAAAGAAAGGTTTGGCTGAAAAAGGCTCTTTGATCCATTTGATCTCATATTTCCAGAATACCATAGAGGATCCTGTGCATGGATCAAAAAAATGTTAAAGTCAATAAAATGCAAGATCATAAAAGAAGTTTTGATTTAGAAAGCCATTTGATCTCATCCTCTATGGTACTGAACCAGTTTCCTGTTTCAGTATTAAACTGTTTCTCAAATGCATCACCCATTTAATTTAAGGATAACATTATGTAAGCATATTCTTGGCATTTGTCTAAAACTTGCCCTTGACAAGTTTGAACTTTCAACCTCTATTTTTGATGCCTTGGCATATCTTGAACGTATATTACTGTTCCTTCATCGTTATTGAGTCAAAATCCTGGAACTCCCTACCCAACACCATTGTGAAGCATCATCACTACAAGAATTTCAGCAGTTTAAAGAGACTTACCCTCACCATCTAGCACATGGGCAATACCCTGCTGAATCACCACATCCCAAGATGAATAACAAAAAGTTTCAAGTTTACATTCTCTATCATATATGGCTATAAAAATCCTCTCTAAACAGTCTATTTTTGAAACTTAAGAGCCTTAGCTTATCTTAGCCGTTCCTCACAGTGCATCTCTCTAACAATGCGGATTAACAATGGGTGCTCTCTTCTTTATTGCCTAAGGACAGGGGTGGGTATATAGGAAATCAGAAACTTTCCCAAGTGTCCCCTCACTTGAATTCTTGACCTCCTTAAATCCACCGACCACCAGAAAAGAGTGCACAGTGTGACCAGTAGCCACAGTAGAGACATTTGCAGTTATTGCGTACAGTTGATAAATTTAAGCTGCAAGGCCAATGAAAGATCTTCTCGATTCCTAGCAGGTGGGTGAAGTGGGGAAGAGGAAATACTTATCTGATTATTTTGGCACCTCCTTCACGATTCGACATTTTACATTACAATCCCGAGCCCTTTTGAGGAGCTAGTCCGCTATTGCTTGAGGGCATCTCGTAGTTTAATCAGAACAATCTGCAGCTGGAGTGTGATAGCTTGACCTCTTGGGAACGTAAAATAAACTGATTTGTCTTGTTTATTCTTGCCATGTGGTGAGCAAGCAGTCAAATAACCCCTCCTCCCCAGATTGCTTTCAACTTTTCCCTTGGCAAATTCTATTCCATCCACGTCCTCCTATGTTTACTTTCTCTATGCAGTAATAGTAATAATAATAATAATCCTTGCATTTGATTTAGCACTAAGCACTTCACAGAATATACTGTAAAGTGGAATGACTGGATTTGTGGATGAAACAAATTTTTATTTGTTATGCTCTCTACTAATTTCGGTCTCCATCTTTCCTGCGAGTTTAAATATCTTGCAGAGTCTGGCAATCTAGTTTGTTAATAATATAAATAGGAGTCTCAGTACAAACTCTTGAGGCACACCACACTTCTACTTCACCCTAGCTCCATCTTTGCTTACTTCTCTTTACTTTAGCATGTTATTGATCTATGTCCATAACATACCCAAACAACATTAGTTTATCAAGTAGTTTCTTGCGAGTTTTTTTAAAATCAAAGGCTCACTGGAAATCTCATTTTAGAAGTCTAAGTACACCGTTCAAATGACTTCCTACTGTCAATTTGGCAAGCCATCGCCTCAAAAAGTCTAGTAGGTTGGCCAGGCAAGGTCTATTTGGAAATTATGACGTTGTATTATATCATAAATTATTTTCATTATTTTTCTGCACCCCTTTTGAATACTGAAACAATATTTTCTTTTTTTTTTAAACCTGTCTGTTCATTCACTCAATATATTAGTTAATTCTTCCCAAATCTCCTGCCTTGTCTCTTTTTCCCAGGATACAGTCAATCCATCCCAGAAGATTTGTTTGAACACCAAAGAGGCAAAACTGATTTAGTCAAACCAGAGGGATGTGTCGCATAGATGTAGATATCCTGAAGGCTTCTTTTGATCATTATGGTTTTGTGCCAGTTAAATGTTTAAATATTTTACTAAATACTGGAAAGTTCATTAATACTGGTATGATATATGCCATACAAATTAAATAGTTATTCATACCTTTGCAGTACCCATCATCTTAGGGAAAGTGTAAGATGAGCAGCCTTCTGGACTTTGACCCAGCTGGCTAAATGGAGCATGAAATGTGGCCTGCATTGGGGAAAAGAAACTCATAGCATTAATTCAGTACACATTATTCTCCCACATACTCAATTTAAATTAAATTCTAAATTAGTTTGATGCAGAGAAACAGCATATTTTCACAGCATAAAGATGACGAAATGACACATGAAATGACTTACACGATCAGTGGCATACACTACATCAAATAAACCAAGGCCAGTGACAGCAATTCCAACAGCAGGACCATTTACCACAGCGATTAGTGGCTTTGGAAAATCAATGAAATGGCTTACATATCTTCTACGGGGGAAAGAGAGAGAGGAAAAAAACATACAAGTCAGTTAGTTTCATTATTTTAAAACCGTTCACAAATTTAAATAAATGCAGCAACTATAATAGAGTTCCTGAAACTATTATATTGCTACATGTTAAACACATAAAAAATAAGATGTCACCACTGTCCCTGCATTACTAATATGTTATCAGTCACTCTCGCTCACGTAAGCAGTTCTCCTGAATCCCGAGCCAGCTTTTCCACACCTTCTGCTCCAACTTGGGTGAAGTTGCTCAAGTCATTCCCACTACAGTAATAATCTCCACTACCTGCAGATATAGAAAAGGAGTGGCTGAATTCACATTAAAGGTTATGCTAAAATTTTCAACACCTACTTGTACTTCTTAACATTTGACAACATTGTTTGCAAGTCTCTAAGGAGATATGTTCTTTCTATATCTGGCAAGGTCTTTTGATAATGTTTTGGATACGGTTATACAGTCATAAATTAACACCATTTGGAGCTTGTGTATGGCATAGCTGGAGAGGAGGGCATTGGGGAAGTTAAGTCTGGAGATAACAAAAGCATGGCCAAAAGTTTAGGCCACACTGGGCGTGAGATAGGGACAAAGGCAGATGGAATGGCAAAGCTGAAGAAAAGTGGTCTTGATCAGTGATTGGACTTAAGGAAGGAAAGAGATCTGAGGATTGACCAACAACAACTTGTATTTACATAGAACCCCACATGCCAGGTAATGGCCCAGAGAACAGGTTGCACAATGATTCTGTTAGGTTGAGGGAATAACTAGGAAGTTCGAGGTAATCAGAACTAAAGGCAAGGAGGCAGTAGTGGGAGCCAGGTAGGATAGCCTCCATTTTATTCATATTAAATTGTAATAAGATGAGGCTCATCCAGGACTTGTTGTTCAACAGGTGATCAGAACCGAAGGTCAGAATCAAAGGTGTAACCGAAGAGACTGAGTTAGGTGTCATCAACTTACACATGGAAATTTATTCCATATTTCCAAATCTTGTCACCAAAGGGGAGTATGTCAATAAAGAAAAGAAAGGGACCGAGGATAGAATCCTGAGGTGCTGCAACAACAACTTGCATTTATATAGCTTCCTTCATGCTGGATAATAATAATAATCCTTACATTTGGAATAGCACCTTTCACATCAGGAGGATGCCCCAAAACATAACAACAACAACAAGACTGCATTTATAGAGCGCCTTTCACGTTGGGAGGACGTCCCAAGTCGCTGGACAGTTGGGTCGGGACCCGAGCAGGGGGGAAATGATCAGGGTGAAGGGAGGGAGCGAGGATGGGGTAGAGAGTTGAGAGGGGAGGTGAAGGCACATAAAACATAAACCGCTTCACAGGATATACTGTAAAGTGCAGTGATGGTGTGTTTCGTAGGCAAACGTAGCAGCCAATTTATACACAGAAGCGTCCCACAAACAGTCACTAAGTGAATTACCAATTTTATCGGGTAGATTGTTGGCCGGGACATTGGGAGTAACTCATGTGAGCGATATTTCGCCCACAAATATACAGTCAATTCACTTTACAGTATATTCTGTGAAGCGCTTTGAGACATCTAGAAGATATGAAAAGCGCTATATCAAATGCAAGGATTATTATTATAATCATATTGAATGCATCAGAGGCAGACATCTTTCCCCTTGTGCCAATCTGAATGGTTAAGTCCAAGAAGCCAGGTCAACTGTGTTGTAGATATTACTTCATTAAAGTTCTATAAATGTTAAAACAAAACTTTTTTTCAAACTTACATCCATGTGCCCAAAAGACGCAACACAATACAAAATTTGATTAGCTTGGTTGATAACAGTTTCACATTGCTTTGAAACATCAATGAATAATCATTAATCAAACTGAAATCCTTTTCCTCTCCATTTTTGTTAATGGATTCCCTTTTATCATATATGTGTTTCCTGTTCCAATACACATTTGTCTACATTAAAATCCATCTGCCATTCCTAAGCTCATTTGCTTAATGGTCCAGATCTGTTTGAATGCTGTTTATCTTCTTTATATATGCACCACCTGGCCTCACCAACTTGGCATTACCATAACATTTTATAATATTAGATGTGCTTTTTATGAATAGGGTTATCAGCAGGAGACTTAAAATAGACCCCACAGAAATGTGCTAAATACTACCCCTGACAAAATATTTGCATTTATCATTGGTCTTCTGCCAGGCCAGTTTTCAATTCAGCTGTGTAGGTCATCATTAACTCTATTAGCTTCAATTAAAAAAATTGAATGTACAACTTTATCAAATGACTCCTGAAAATTCAAGTAATTGCATTTACTAGATTGAATAGTTCGATTTATTGAATAGAATTTAGTAATTACAAAGAATTTGCATGCTTATTCTAAGAATAAAAATCGGTGATTTGAGTATGGGATATACAAATAATTTGGTTTATTGAATAATTTCGGCGTGACCATTCATATAAAAAACAATTAATCTGAGAACTGGATTAACTCAATAGCCACAAATCATTGCCTTCTGCAGTATAGCATGAACATCGTCAGTGTCCTCCCCTCCTTCCCTCTCCCCTCGCTTCATTCCCCAGAAAGGTTGCTGGCCATTGGTTGGTTGGCCAAGTGAAACTGCGGACACATCGGATTGTTGGAGGCGAGAGTTTCCAGTTCCAATACAGTTGGGGAATGCGCAGCCCGAGCTCCGGGAGATGAGTCTCCAGTTTAGTCCAGCCAGTCCAGAACCTTGGCATCTTGTTTGATCCTCAACTGTCCTTTCTACCCTACATCCATGCCCCACATCCTTGCTCTGTCTTCCCCCACCTCCGCAACATTGCCCGGCTCCACCACTGCCTCACCCCTCAGCTCGTGTCCTCTCCCGCACCAGGCTTCATGACTACATCACCCCCAGCCTCGCCCGGCTCCACTGGCTCCCCCAGAGGATAGAATTCAAAATCCTCATCCTCGCCTTCAAGGCCCTCCACGCCCTTGCTCCTCCCTATCTCTGTGACCTGCTGATCCCATATCAACCTGTCCGCTCCCTTCAGGCTGTGGACATCCTGCCCCATGTCCGGCCCATCCCACCATCGGTGATCGGGCCTTCACCCTTTCTGCCCCCACCCTATGGAACTCCATCCCACATTCCCTTCGCCTCACTGCCTTCCCTACCTCCTTCAAGGCAGGTCTCAAAACCTTCCTCTTCGACCGAGCGTTCAACCACCTTCTTACCCTCCCTGCCCTCCACCCTCCCCGATCCCGACCCCCAGCTCGGGTCCAAATCCCTGACTGTCCAGGCCTTGGGAAGTCCTCCCGACATGAAAGACGCTATACAAATGTCATTTTGTATTGAATTGTTGTCTAGTTATATGAAAAGGTCCAGTTTATTTAATAATTGTCACTGTCAAATTGAGTATTCAATTAACAGAACTTAACTGTACATGGAAATTCTGGAGATATGTATTGGAATGCAATGTGACTCTCTCCCTGGAGGGACACTGGGGCTTTGGCTTGCAGGGTTAATTGGAGCTGAGTGGGAAGAATCACTGCACCCAGTTACTGGTCTAAGTCATTCCGATGAGCCAGCCTCGATGGGCTGTCATCAGTAGTGGTCAGAATATTGTGGACCCACCTGGCACAGGAAGTGTACTACACCAAGACCGTCACAGAGGGTTGGCTCAATTCTGCCCCTCCAAGGGACACTGCCACAATCACTAATTTTGAAAATTAAAGCTTTTTGGTGCCATCACTTCCTGTATGTTGCACACCTGCTCACACCACTACACAGCAATCATACTGATATCACTTCATTCATAAAGTGATGTCAGCAGTGCTTCCTGTGCAGAGCTTCCATTTGCAGCATGCAGGAAGTGACATCAACAGGAACCTAATCACCTGGAGGTCTAACATTTTTTTTCTCTGCAGATATCAGGTGTTGTATGCCTTCAGTTTGCATAGGTCCACAATAGACCCCACTCTAAGTGAGACAGGGCTATCCCAGAGAAGAGGGAGGGGGCACTATTACGAAGTTTCCAGCTCCTATGTAATTATTACTTTTACCAACATAACATCATCTAATACCATGTTTGAAATAAACTTTAGCAAAAAAAGGGACTTTATGCAAATGTTCTCTGCTTCTCTCTGCTGGCACACAATTCCATGGGTGCCTCAATTCCTCAACAGCATCAAGAGACCATTCTTCAGGGGTGTCAGAGAATTATTCAACGATGGGATGATTACACTATCCCCCTATTCTGTTATGACCTGACATGCAGACTTCATGACTTTCGCAGCATAAAACAAAAAAAATTTGACTGATTTTACTCTCTTCCCAACTGGGGTTGCAGGCACCATCTGTGAGTAGTATGTGACTGAGATCAGCTTGTTAAGCAGTTCTCTATATTGCTTAGTGCTTCACTGGGTGATACATTTATTACATCCGCATTTGCTTGAGAATACTAGACAGTCAAAGCAGCTTTTAATATTGATCTTAAGACAGTAATTCAATCCAAGAGTTCTGCTGATGAAAACACAATTTAGGTTTCACTCTTATTGTTTACAAAGTCATGAGAACCTCTAACTGAAACCGTGTTTTGCAACTCACTGATTATCATGCTATATATTTTCACCCAGATCTCTGGTATCATGGTAAAATGAAAGGTTTCTAAAGTGGGGAAAAAAAACAAAAAATACAGTATAAAGTAAAATATTAATGAACCACAAATATCAAAATGTATTTCAACAGGATTCACTGAGAAGAGTGGAGACCGGGTCTGACCCCGGGCCAGACAGCATAAGGCCCAAGCCACATGACTGGCTCTAGGTTGGTTAATGGTTAGATAAGAGGGGATTGCAAGTGCGTGGGTCTATAAGAGGGGTGTCAAGGACCACCTGCAAGCCTAGGTGCCTGCACCCTTACACAGTTGTTTTGTTGCTGTTCTGGGTGTTCCCCTGCCTTAGAATAAACCTGTGTGTGACGAGAGACTTTATTTATGTCTGTATCTGCCTGGCTTGAAGGAGGTCCATGCTACAATACATTTGCAGAGACTGGTAAAATTGGTTATACCTGTCATTACTGTAAGCACAGAGTCATCTTTTCCAGCTTGTTCAAGTGCTTGCATAATTTCTTCATACATCTGAATAAAGGAGATATATTGAAATATCATTAGTACAGTATCTATTAAATGGAGTAGCTGATGTGTCAACTTTTGTTATATTCTCTTTTTGTTTGAACCTGTATTCTGCAGGAATGAGTTCACATTTTTGAGTTCAGTTGAGTGGCTGATTGTGATGATTAGACACCAATGAAGAAAAGGTTCAATAAAGAGATCCCAATTTGAATGTCTTTTGATTATTTGCTATAATATATTTCTAATTATAATATTGGGATCTCTGCTGACAGTTTTACAACGGAGAAAGTTGTTAACACTGATTAAATATGTTAATTATCAAATTGCTGAAAAATTGTAGTAATTTCAGTCAAGATTTATCACACCACAATTATAACAACGCTGAAAACATGTGGTCAACAATTGATAACTAAGTACATTGATTGGTTCACAGTAAGAGTTCATCAAAGCTTATCATTGAAAGCCAAACTACAATACTGCACTGCAAATGGATCCACTGCAGGATACTGGTTTACGAGTTTAATTCAAAAAATTCTGAGTAAAACTCAAATAAATCTTGCCAACTAGCATTCCAATTGCCAGGCCATCAAGTCCAGTGCATCTGTGGACTGGGCCCGCCTATTGTGATAAGGTGGTGAGGGTTACACCTTTAACCAAATGATTTGATTATCAACTGACTGACTACAATTAACAAATTGATAGTCTTTTAAGTATCACTAGTTTTAATTAACAGATCATAGAACAATTTTCACCCCCAAGACTAGTGCAGATATTAAATTGTTCAATGAAATTGTACAAACAATATTTCAGTATTTTGTTCCAGAATTTGATTATGTTTACACACAACTAAAATATATTCTGAAAAACACCTTTCCAAATAGTAGAAAAACAATACAACAGTGACTTATTTAGAACTAATTTGAAGTGTGAGAGAGTAGAATTGCCACTATGATGATAAGATACAATACAATCCAAAATACGTTTGTAAAGTGCCATTCACGTCAGGAGGACTTTCCAAGGCGCTGAACAGTCAGGGATTAGGACCCGAGTGTGGGAGAGGGGTGGGGGTGGGTTTGGGATCAGGGAGGGTGGAGGGCAGAGAGGGTAGGAGGGTGACTGAAGACACGGTCGAAAAGAGGGTCTTGAGGCGTGCCTTGAAGGAGCAAGGGAGGGAACGAGGCAAAAGGAATGTGGGATGGAGTTCCAGAGAGTGGGGACAGAGAGGCTGAAGAACCCCCGACCGTTGATGGAGTGGCGGGCTGGGCGGGGGACATGGAGCAGGCTGGAGAAGAGGGAGCAGACAAGTTGATAAGGGTCGGAAAGTCAGGAGGGGGCAAGGCCATGGAAGGCCTTGAAGGTGAGGATGAGAATTTTGAACTTGATCCTCTGAGGGATGGGGAGCCAGTGGAGCCAGGTGAGGGTGGGGGTGTCACGGAGCCTGGTGCGGGACAGGACACAAACTGCAGAGTTCTGGATGATCTGCAGCTTGTGAAGGGAAGAGTTGGGAAGGCTGACAGGCATACTCGAGTCTGGTTGTAATCAAGGAATGTATGTGGGTTTCGGCGGCCTGTGGGGTGAGGCAGTGGTGAGGCATGATGATTAAATTAAGTTGGTAGAAGATGTGAATATACTCAGCATGCTGCTAAATTGAAGAGTACCAAAGTTTCAAATGTGATATTCTAATACAGCTGCAATGTGATATATAGTAATAATCCTTACATTTGATATAGCGGCTTATCACATCTTCAAAGTGTCTCAAAGCGCTTCACAGAATATACGGTAAAGTGACTGTGTATTTTGTGGGCGAAACGCGGCAGCCAATTACACACAGCAGAGTCCCACAAAAGTCGTGGATTGAGTGACAACTTTTTTTTTATGATCAGTCTTTTCTGGAGGGATTATTACCCCCGGAAAAGTGACCTGCCAATCGACTCATAACCGGGTTCCTACTTACTGCTGGGTAAACAGGGGTGTTAGGAGTAAGGAAACTTGCCCAATGTTTCGCCCTGCCCGGGAATCAAACCCAGGTCCTCTCACTTGCGAGGCGAGTGCTCTAACCAGTAAACTACAGGACTCCACACTGTAATATTTGCATTGTCTGACTGTTAACATAGAATACACATTCCATTTTCCAACTGTTTCTCCATATCTCTTAAAATATTCTTATTTAACAAGTATCTATCTCTCTTTATTGAACACTTCATTGACCCTGAATCTGTGGGCTTCTGAAGCAGTCTGTTCTATTTTTTTTTCTCAGCAGGGTGTCTGACACATGTGGAAACCAATACTTAAGAGCATCCAAACCAAACTGAGTTCCACGCATCCCAACGACACATAAAAATTCCAGAGTCTGTTCTATATTCTTATGACCTTTTGTGTAAAGATCTGTTTGCACCGTTTACCCTTTTCACTAGCTTAGAGGCAAGAGTTATTTGTAATACCCTTAATCAGATTCAATAACCTCAATCAAATCACCCTTCAGCCTCCCAAATCTCCAATCAATCCACCCCAAGATACTCAGACTCTCCACATAGGTAAGTCCTTTCATATATCTCAGGTATCATCCTGGTGAACTGGGCTTATTCAAAAGCCAGTTCACTTTCTCAAAACTGAACAGTATACTCCAAATGAGGTCTGGCCAGCCTATATATACAACTGTGTAACAACATCTTTATTCTTGTATTTTTTCCCTTTTGTGATAAAACACAGAAAGCAATGGAAAAGACTAATAGAAGGTATGGAATATAGGGGTAAAATAAAATAGGTCATTTCCTTCATGGCTTTTTATGGGACATTGTTATTTGCAAATTAGCTGCCGCATTCGTCCAAAAAATACACAGTCCATCCACTTTCCAATAAATCCTATAAAGAGCTTTGAGATGTACGTGTCCCCCTGACACCCCCCACACCGACACGAGAGGCAATATATCCAAAAATAATAATCCTTGCATTTGATATAGCACCTTATCACATCTTAGAGACGTCTCAAAGCACTTCACAGAATATACTGTAAAGTAAATTGACTGTATATTTTGTGGGCGAAACATGGCAGACAATTGCACACAGCAGTGTCCCACAAACAGTCATGGTTTGATTGACCTAATTATTATTATTTTTGGGGGGAGAAATTATTACCCCCGGAAAAACTATCCATCAATCAACTAACAACCAGATTCCTACATACCACTGGTAAACAGAGGCGTGTGGAGTAAGGAAACTTGCCCAACATTTCGCCTGCCTGGGCTATGTGTGAATCAAACCTAGATCCTCTTGCTTGTGAGGCGAGTGCTCTAACCACTAAGCTACAGGACTCCACAAAAGAATTATTAAATATTTATCCGATATTGATGAAGCTCTGTATTGACAATGATCTCTTTGTACTATACCTAAATCAGCCAAGTGTTGATGCTTTCATTGGTTTATTGCGTAAATGAGAATAAAACCTTCTTTGTTCACTCAGTTTATATTTGTTGGGTGTATATATTTCATAAATGTTCACATAGCTGTAACATGTTAGAAACATGACCCTGACATTGACTAGGTGTGGTTACTCACAAATATTTTCCCCCCAAAGCAAAGTATGATAACAACCACTTGGGCCAGAACAGAACAGGTCCTTACAGGAGGAAAGAGGTACTGGCACTGTATGGTTACTGGAGCTTAGAGGGATTTATGATTGCTGAAATGGGAAGGGATAGTCTGAATATATTTGTGAAACTCACAAACGATGTCCTCTCTATCTGTGACCAGGGCTCTCTCTGCCACCTCGTCCTCCTGGAACTCTCCCCCACATTTGACACAGTCGATCATGCCATCCTCTTCCACCACCTCTCCTCCATCATCCATCTCAGTGTGACCGCACTCACTTGGTTCAAGTCCTATCTTACAAACCGCCAGCATTACATTTCCGCAAATGTTTTTTATTCTTGCCCCCGCCGAGTCACCTCCGGGGTACCCCAAGACTCCATCCTTGGCCCCCTTTTCTTCCTCATCTATATGCTCCCTCTCGGAAATGTATTCCGCAGACACGGGATTATCTTCCACATGTATGCAGATGACACTCAACTCTACTTCTCCTCCTCCAGCTGCGACCCCCGTCCTCTGATATTCTGTTAACTTGTTGACCGTGCCTATGGTCACCTTCCTCCTTCCACTGGCTCGGCATCGGGTTCCACCATTGATGAGTACTCTGGGATGGCGCCCAGCATGGAGGGCGCTATATAAATGCAAGTTGTTGTTGTACATTTGTGTCAAATGTACATTCACCCTCCTCTCCACCATCGGTGGCTGTGCTTTCAGACCACTATTCCCCAAAGCTCTGGATCTCCCTCCCTCAATCCCCCCCTCCCTCCCCACTTTCAAATCCTGCCTGCCTGAAGACACTCCTTTTTGATCGTGCTTTTAGTCACCTCCCGCCTCCCTCAGCCCCTGGCTCAGGGTCAGACTTCGCCACTGTCAAGTTCTCTGGGATGCTACCCCGGGTGAAGGGAGCCATATAAATGCAAGTTGTTGTTGTAGGTGCCAACAGTGTTAGAAATTATTTAAAACAACAACAAAATTGCATTTATAGAGCACTTTTCATGTCGGGAGGATGTCCCAAAGCGCTGAACAGTCAGGTGTCAGGGCCTAAGAATGGGGAAGGGATGGTGGAGGGGTGAGGGATGGCAGAGAGGTGGGAGGGAAACCAAAGGCACGGTCGAAGAGAAGGGTCTTGAGACCGGCCTTGAAGGAGGCAAGGGAGGAAGCGAGGCGAAGGGATCGTGGGATGGAGTTCCAGAGCATGGGGGCAGAGAGGCTGAAAGCCCGGCCACCGATGGTAGGGCAGGTCGGGCGGGAGACATGGAGCAGGCCGGAGCCCGATGAACGGAGGGAACGGGCAAGTTGGTAGGGAGTCAGCAGGTCACAGAGGTAGGAGGGGGCAAGGCCATGGATGGCCTTAAAGGTGAGGACGAGGATCTTGAACTCGATCCTCTGAGGGATGGGGAGCCAGTGGAGTCGGGCGAGGG